TACTAAAGACAGTTCTCTCCTTAGCACTGTGTGCATTCCCGTGGTGGCTGTTATTATAAACTTTGTAGCCAGTGGGTATATATGATAAAGGAATCATTCTAGGACGACATAAAATAGGATGGGCCATAAACCCAAAATAAATTTTAAATACTTAACTAAAATAATGGTAGTGGGGCTTCCCTGGTGGCGCAGTGCTTGAGAGTCCGCCTGCCGATGCAGGAGACGCGGGTTCGTGCCCCGTTTCGGGAGGATCCCGCATGCCGCGGAGCGGCTGGGCCCGTGAGCCATGGCCGCTGGGCCTGCGCGTCCGGAGCCTGTGCTCCGCAAATGGGAGAGGCCGCAACAGTGAGAGGCCCGCATAACGCAAGAAAAAAAAAAAAAAAAATAATGGTAGTGGAGACATTGCACTGGCTAAAAGTTATTCACTCTGCAATGGACACGGGGCAGTATGTGTGATTTTTTGTTTGATCTGAGGAAGGGGCTGACAGCAGGCTGACCTGGGATCCCGAATGGGGCTGGGAAATGAGCCTGAGGGTAACAAATTCCTCTAATTCCAAATTCCTATAATTGAGGAAGACAAACGTCCCTGCTTGGCCACCTGAGATCAGGGCTGGCCTTGTTTACCTTTAACTTTTCTAGGTCAAGGAAAAAAGTCTGCAGCAAGAAACTTCTGTGCACCACTAGCAGGTCAACCCCATCACTCATGAGGGATGAAGATTTCCTGTGTTTGTTTTTAACTGGCCTGTCTTGCTTATAAAAGTATATCTCTTTTTCCCCAGAGAATTTGTTAATCAAGGTAGTTTGCAGGCTTCAGGAATTAGCTCATTTATTTGGGGCAGCAGAAGAATGAACCAGTTGGGAGCGCAGGCCCTGGGCTCAGGCTGCCTGGCCTTGTAGTCTGACTCTGTAGCCGGACAGTGGGGTGACCCTGGGTCACTTTGCCAGGCCTCACCCACCCTAGGAGGTAGCTACTGCTATCATCCCCGTTTTATAGATTAGAGGCTGAGTCACAGGGAGGTCTTATGCCTGGCACTTTATTTTCTAAATAGCTAGCACAGAGTAAATAGTCAATAAAAGCCAGCTATTGGGCCTCCCTGGTGGCGCAGTGGTTGAGAGTCCGCCTGCCGATGCAGGGGATACGGGTTCGTGCCCCGGTCTGGGAGGATCCCGCATGCCGCGTAGTGGCTGGGCCTGTGAGCCGTGGCCACTGAGCTTGCGCGTCCGGCAACGGGAAAGGCCACGACAGTGAGGGGCCCACATATCGCAAAAAAAAAAAACAAAAACTGAGTTTGGGCTTCCCTGGTGGTGCAGTGGTTGAGAGTCCGCCTGTCGATGCAGGGGACACAGGTTCGTGCCCCGGTCTGGGAAGATCCCACCCCCCGTGTCCGCGCGCGGACACGGGCGGCGGCGGCGGGGCCGGTGTTCTGGAGGCGGCTGCTGGGCCTCCTGCCTGGCCGCCCCGGGCTGGCCGCTCTCCTGGGGCGCCTGTCCGACCGACTCGGCAGGAACCGGGACCGCCGGCGCAGGAGGTGAGAGAGCGGTGGGGCTGAGGGCGCGCCCGGCCCCGACCCTCATTCCGCGCTCCCGGCGTCGCGGTGAGCTCTCCGTGCCCCCCACGCGGGCCCGCCCGGCCCCCGCAGTCCCGCCTCGCCACCGGCCTTCCCGGGGAGGGGGACCCCGCCCGAGGTCGGTCGGGTCGGCCCGGGGCTGTGTGGGGCGAGCCCGGCCTCAGTCCTCCGTCCTCGTACGCTGGAGCGAAGGGGCTGTGTGTGCACACCCAGGGCGGGGGATGAGTTCGTGCGTTGCTTTGGGCCCCGGGGTGTGTGTGTTGGAGAGTCTTCTCGAGAGACACTGTTTGGGTCCGGAGGGGTCTTTTCCTTAAGTAATCCTAGCTGCGAGGTGACTTGACGGGAGTGAATCAGCCCTGCTGGGATTCTGTGCCTGCAGCATTTCTCACATCCTGCCAGAGAGGGCTGTGAAGCAATCCTGAGTCAGGAACCCTCAGGCCAGGGAAGAGGAACCACTTGAAACCCCTTTTACCCTTTGCAAAGGGCCTGTGTTCTGGAAAAGTACTGAAGGGAGTTATGGAAATAGTGAAGTAGGCTTTGAAGCTGTTCGTAAGTAAACATTTGCCAAGTACACGCTGACCTAAGAGGCCTGCTGCTGTTGCTAATACTAAAAAAAAAAAAAAAAAAAAAAAAAAAAAAAGATGGACAACTATCATTTAAAAGCGATAATGAAATGAAGGATTTCTTTGATAGCATTATAAACCACAGTGGAAGTGGAGCATATGCTGGTATCACTATAACATGGTCAAACCAAATTTATGTCGCGCTTGTGTGTGTGTTTGAACACACACTAACTTATGATCCTATTCTTTTATGTTTATTCTATTGTGCTCTATTTCCTTCTCGTTGATCAATGCACAATGAATTTTTCTCTTCAAGTCAGCCCCTGCTTCCCTCCAGCATAGGTGCTAAAATTTTTAAACTTGAGGCTCAGGTGTGGGGCCCTGGGCAACCCCAGTCAAATCTGACAGTATTTAATATTAGCCCCATCTCTATGTGGGGTTATAAGTCTAAACCAGTCGTTCTCAAAATGTGGTCCTAGAGCAAGCAGCATCAGCATTGCCTGGAGTGTGGTTAAAATGCAAATACTTAGGCCCTGAACCAGACCTACTTGATCAGAAACTCTGGGGCAGGGGCCCAGCAATGTGGGCGTTTAATGAGCCCTCCAGTTGGTTCTGATGTTCATTAAAGTTTGAGAGCCTTTGGTCTTAACTTGGTCTTGCTGCCCTGTATCCTGTCTACCTGGCTTGACTTCCTAGGTACACACATACCTGTAAAGCTCAGTTATCCCCTCTGATTTCCTCATGACTGGGTCTCTGTCTCTCTGACTGGGTTGATGCGCTGATTTCAGATTAACACTCTAGCTCTCAGCTGGGATTTCCACCTGGCCTGCTGGACCAGAGCCCTGTCAGCTCCTTTCCTTAAATATATCACGGTCCTGCTTTTACTCTTCTCTCCTCCTGGCTGGTGGACAAGTCTGGCATTGAATCAGTTGGGCCATTTGGAGCCAGTTCGCACTGGGGCATCTCCATGACCTGGCAACTCCATGCTGTGCCTCCCAGCAGGCCATAATAGCACTGGCCTCAGATGACCTCCAGGCCCCTCACCTGTGGACGTTATAGTTGACATTACTATCCTTCTTTATTAGTCCCTGTCCTATAACCTGATAAACATTCTAACCTGCCTAAGGCCCCATTTTATATTACCCTGTCCCTACTGATCTGGATATCAAGAGACTGCATGAGCTATAACATCTATCTGAAGTCAGTGGATACCTTTGGAAAACACTACAGCAGAGTTAGGTAAACATTTTAGGGTAAAACATGTATTGATTTGGGACAAATCCTTCAGGGTAAAGAAAGACAATAGTAGAAAATAAGTTATATTTGAATTACTTTAAGAAAATGTTGCCAGCACCACTTTATGTTCTGAATATTCTAATTTACCTGATAGAGCATTCAATACATTTATCTTGTGAGGATTGGTATCCTCTAACTTCTGCTTTCCAAGTCCTAATTTTTCCACGCATGGATCCACCTACTGAATTTGCTTTCCCGAAACCTGAACACACCATTATCTTACTATCAGTTTACAGGAGACTCAACACTATAGCGTTTAATAAAATATTCGTGCTCATCCAGAGGAGCCTATAAGCAGCTACCACCGTGAAAGAAACTGAAGGTCACATTTATATGTCTAGAAAATAGTTCAACAAGTATTTCAAAACATTCTCCATTTCAACCTTTGGTCAAAGCCCTTTTATGTTTTAGCAATATTCACAATACTTGAAGAGGTCCTTTTTTCCTTGAATTGCATTTAACGCATAACCACTTGGCCCAGTTTAGACATAAGCTTTCTTACCCTAAACTCATGAGTCCTGCTTCTGCTTCTATTTGTCAGATGGATAGAAATTTGTCAGTAAAGCCTTAACAAAAGGAATTTACATGTGTGGTTATATTCATTCAATTTTTCATGGAGCAATTATTTATTCCATTCTACTATGTGCCAAGCACTACACTGGTGCTGGAATAACAGAGTCCTTGCCTGAAAAAAATCTTCCTGGAAATCCCCTCCCAGTCAGATGGATCTTTTCTTGTCAGAGGTGGTGGGTATGGATTTGCCTCACAGAGAATGGGTGGGGACCAGGGAGGGGCTGCATGATCATCAAGATGTATGGCTTTGGAAAGTAAAATGTGATTTATGAAAGCACTGTTACATTCTGGGATATGAAAATGAGGACCCAGATCAAAGAAACAAAGACAACAACATTTTACTTTTTCCCAATTGGTACAAGCTATTCATTTTTCATCAAATATTCTACTACCTGCATACTTTGGGTTAATAGCAATCACCTTCCAAGCACTGCTTATTGGACGGCCCCTAACTGAAGCCTTGACCCGATTTTCCTTTAAGAAATTGTCTAATCTGTGTCTATAGCATCCCTCTGGCCAAACATATGGCCGAATAATCAAATACATTTAAGCATTTCCTGTGTCTCTAATTCTATCCTAAGTGCTGTGACAAATTAAAAACAAAGCAAATTCATTTTCTCCTTGGTATTATAGCTTTTTCTCTATAAATTCTACTGTCTCATAAGTATCTTGAGGACAAGACTCATGTCTCACTCATTTTTGTAAACTCCATAGATTATCACATTACACTCAGTAAATATGATTGAATGGAAAAATTCATAAAGAAATTCATTTCTAGGGACTGTAGACTATAAACATCATCCTGAGGTTTCTAGAACTCTTGGAAAAGTCAGTTCTGTTGGTGATAGGTCATACTGTTTCACCTTGTGAATGAAGGTCAACTTGACCCCAGGGAAAGTTAGTGTACAGACGTGCCATTGTACTTGTGACCAGTCAGCAACATCAGAAACAGTGCAGCCATGCCTCATAATGATTCCCTTTGTTAAGCAGTGTCACTCACCTGATCTGAAGCCAAGTCAGCATGGGGGTTGTTCCTCCTCCGAACACCCAGACTGTGAAGAACACGAGGAGCAGAGTGGTGGTAAACATCATTTGCTTGGGCTGAGATCCTGTGTCCCGAATAGCTAAGGCAAAAGCTATCGCTCCTCGCAAACCTTATGGAGAAAAACCAAAGAAGGAAAAGAAACATCTGCACGAGTGTCATTCTCATTTCATTGAATTTATCTTTACAATTTACTGACAAACACAATTATATTTTAAAATTAAACTTTTAATTTTGAGATAACTGTAGACTCACATGCAGTTTTAAGAAATAATAGGGACTTACTGTGTGCCCTTCCCCATTTTCTCCCCAGCGGTGATGTCTCGTCTTGCAAAACTGTCTAGTACAATATCACACCCAGGGTTTTGACACTGATATAGTCAAGATTCAGTACATTCCCAACACCATAAAGATCCCTCATGTTGCCCTTTATAATCACACCTACTTCTCTCCCACAAACTCCTTAACATCTGGCAGCCAGTAATCAGTCGTCCATTTCTATAATTTTGCCCATTCAGGAATGTTATATAAATGGAATCATGAAGTATGTAGCCTTTTGTAATTGGCTTTTTTTTCACCCAACGTAATTTTTGGATACTCATCCAGGTTGCCAAATGTATTGATAGTTTGTTCCTTTTTATTGTTGAGTAGTATTTCCATGGTATGGATATTCCACAGTTTGTTTAACCGTCATCTGTTAAAGGACACCTGGGTAGTTTCCAGTTTTTGGCTATTACAAATAAGGCTGCTGTGTGAGTGAATGTAAGTTTTCAGCTCTCTGAGATAAATGCCCAGGAGTGCAATCACTGAGTTATATGGTATTTGCATGTTTTTTTAAATTAATTGATTTTAATTAAAAATTTTATTGAAGTAACATTATTTAAATTTATATGTATAACATTGTATATAACATGTTTCACGTGTCCAACATTATATTTCTTTTTTTAATTTAATTTAATTTATTTTTTTATATAGCATGCTTTTAAAAGAAATTACTACCAAACTTTTCCAGAATGGCTCTAGCATTTTACATTCCCAGCAGCAATAGATAAGTCATCCAGTTTCTCCACCTTTTCCAGCCTTTAGTGTTGTCATTATTTTAAATTTTAGCCATTTTGATAGTTTATTGGGGTTATAATTTCCATTTTCCTAATGGTAATGTACATTTTTTAATGTGCTCAGTTGTGATCTATCTACCTGCTTGGGTGAAATGGCTCTTTGTGTCTTTATCTCATTTTCTAATTGACTTGTTAGATGTTTGTTAAATTTTGAGAGTTCTTTATATATTCTAGATAATAGTCCTTTGTTGGATATATAGTTTGCAAATATTTCCTCCCATTTTGTAGCTTTTTATTGATAAAGTCTAATCTGTTGAATTTTTCCTTTTATAAATCATCTATTTGGAGCCAAGTCTAAGAACGCTTTACTTAGCTCTAGGTCCCAAAGATTTTCCCTTATATTTTAAAATTTTTTCTAAAAGTTATTTAGCTTTACATTTTACCTTTAAGTCCATGCTCATCTTGAGTTAATTTTGGTGTAAGCGGCGAGTTTTAGGCTTAGGATCTTTTTTTTTTTTTTTTTGCCTATGGATGTTTAATTGCTCTATTGAATTGCTTTTGTACCTTTGTCAAAAACCAATCGGGTGTATTTGCGTGGCTCTATTCCTGGGTTCTCAATTCTGTTCCATTGATCTACGTGTCTATTCCTGTTCTGATGGTACACTGTCACGATTACTGTAGGTATATGGTAGGGCTTAGTATCAGGCAGACCTCCTGCACTGTTGGTGGGAATGTAAATTGATACAACCACTATGGAAAACATTATGGAGGTTCCTTAAAAAACTAAAAATAGAACTACCATATGACCCAGCAATCCCATTACTGGGCATATATACCCTGAGAAAACCATAATTCAATAAAACAGATGTACCACAATGTTCATTGCAGCACTATTTACAATAGCCAGGACATGGAAGCAACCTAAATATCCATTGACAGATGAATGGCTAAAGAAGATGTGGCACATATATACAATGGAATATTACCCAGCCATAAAAAGAAATGAAACTGAGTTATTTGTAGTGAGGTGGATGGATCTAGAGTCTGTCATACAGAGTGAAGTAAGTCAGAAAGAGAAAAACAAATACCTTATGCTAACGCATACATATGGAATTTAAAAAAAGAAATGGTACTGATGAACCTAGTGGGAGGGCAGGAATAAAGACGTAGACAGAGAGAATGGACTTGAGGACACTGGGTGGGTGTGGAAGGGGGAAGCTGGGGCAAAGTGAGAGTAGCATCGACATATATACACTACCAAATGTAAAACAGTTAGCTAGTGGGAGGCAGCAGCATAGCACAGGGAGATCAGCTTGGTGCTTTGCTACGACCTAGAGGGGTGGGATAGGGAGGGTGGGAGGGAGGCTCAACAGGGAGGGGATATGGGGATATATGTATGCATATGGCTGATTCACTTTGTTGTACAACAGAAAATAACACAGTACTGCGAAGCAATTATACTCCAATAAGGATCTATTAAAAAAAAAATTCGGGTAGAATGATTCTTATTTTTCATTTTCAAAAGTGTTTTAAATATTCTAGATCTTTTGCCTTTCCATAAAATTTTAAAAGAATATTGTCTGTATTTACAAAAAAAATCTTTCTGGGCACAAATACTTTTAGAAAATCAAGTGTGTTAGACAACAAGGAAAACCAAGCTTACGGACCATTGAAAATTAATAAACGATTAAATGACATTTAAGAATTATTCCAGCCTGAGAACATACTTTTACAAAGTCTATAATCTAAACTGACCTATTAAAACCTGCTTTTTTGTCTATTTTTCTTCTTTAATAATAATATGTTAATTGAATTTTTATGAATCCATATTAAATATATTTGCAAGAAGATGTTAAAGAAGATTAAATGCTACAACTTCAAATCAAAGTGTGATGACATTATAAAAACAGATGTAGACTTTGAAGAAAAGTAAATAAAAGCACAAATAGTAAAATAAAAAAGTTAAAATGGAAAATCTCTCTTGGGTAACACAAGACTTATAAGACATTTACAGGCTCTGTTATACCACGTAACAGGGCAAATAAACCTTTATAATGATAGCAAGTATAAGTCAAAGGTAGTGATTTTTGTTACTTTTATAGGAAGGTTTAAGTCACATACATAAAGTTTCAATGGTCCATTTTTTGTAATATTTATTGTATTAATATTATCTAGGTTTCTAATTTTCTAAACCTTTATTCATACATTAAAAGACTTTTAGAAATTGGATACAGGTTAGGATGAGAAAAACTATAACTACTTTGGTCTTTATCCTTGGCTTCGCAACTTAGAATATAATGCTCCTTTCTCATCTTTACACTGAGAATATACAAGAGACAAGTGGCATAACACAAGATCCAGAGGATTAGAATAGAGAGACTTAATATATTTTGCCTGAAAGAAGGAAGCCTCAGAAAGAGAGAGGAACATGCACTCTGATTATAAAATTACCTTCAAGGAACAAAATGTAATGGAGGAAGAAAATTATTCTAAATCTCCAAGTAGACAAGGAAATGGCCTGAAGATAAGAAAGATAACATTTGAAGTAGATATTAATAAAGAAAAAAAATTTTTTTTCATCAGAAATTCTGAACACTTAGATGGCTGTACTCAAGAAGAGTACACCAGAGACGTTCATGCACTTAGACCCAGCTGGGGACAAGAGAGTGGGGATATTAATAACCCTTATTACTGGAGAATATTTCAATAATGTTCTCTCCAGGAAATACAAATGGTGTCCTTAGGGAATGAGAACTGAAAGAAACAGTTTTCCAACAGCCTTCTATATCTGAGGAGAAAATGTATAGGTTAAGGTAAAGCTCCTAGCAGTGTTTAATCAGGACAAGATTGGAGATAGAAAGTGATCTTTTCTTTTTCTCTTTTCCTCAAGCTCACATTTCCAGAAGTGTCCATAAAGAAGCATTACTCCAGTTAAGTGGTGTGTATTAGAAATATTAAGTGATAAGACTCTAAGTATTTGTTTTCATTATATTGAATATTTGTGTGTGTGTGTGTGTGTGTGTGTGTGTGTGTGTGTGTGTGTGTATGTTTTTGGCTTTGTTTTTTCATTTTTTGTTTTTTTTTTACTTTGAATTTTGTGAGAAAGAGAAAAATAGAGACTGGAATAAAAGTTAAAACTTGCTACGTCGTGTTTATTGTAAAGTTCATGTTAGTTATCAAGGGCAAGGAAGGACATAATCATTTATCTTCCTGAATATGTTTAATAATGTATTGTTATTATGTTAAACTAGCATAACTAGGCTCTTAAATCTAAATTATCTATACATGAGCAGTTCTTAGTTTAAAAATATACTCAAAAGATATATGTTATTCTGACTTTTAAAAAAGTCTGTATCCTATAAATAAAACTCTATATTTACAGGAGATGCAATGTAGAGATCTCTTTAAAAAAAAGAAGAAAGAAAAATGCAGCCACTGCCTTGTATTTGTACTTGTGGAATATTAAGAAACATTGATATTTAGAACCAACTTCAAGATGGCTCTGTAAGAGGAGCCCTTCCCCATATAATGGTCACCTAAAAAAACCACAGAAACAGTTTATTTTTGGAGAAGAGAGTATCTGTCTGCAGCCCTGGCCACTTTTCGCAAATATGGCTCATGCCACATGTGAGATGGCCTGGTAGCATGGGAAGCATGGAACTGAGAAAGGTGAGGCCACTAAGTAGACAAAGTGAAGCTCATTTAGAACTCTAGATGAGAACAACTGCCTACATACCATTCATCCTTTATGATGCCAAAGTTATTGATCACACATCTGGCACCTAGACAATTGTCAAATCAATGGCCATTCATTGCTTCATTCAGCACATATGTGTCTTAGTCTAACCTAACAAAATACCACTGTCTGGGTGGCTCCAACAACAGCAAGTATTTCTCACAGTGTGGAAGCTGAGATGTCTAAGATCAGGGTGTCAGCATGGCCAGGTCTGGGGAGGGCTTTCTCTCTGGCTTGCAGAAGGCTACCTGCTTGCCATGCAAGAGCAAGCTCAGTGGTGTCTCTTCTTAATTCTATCATAGGGCACCCCACCTTCAT